CACTGCCCATCCCTATCCTCAATTTTGTGGCGTATCTTGTCAACATGAAGATAGAGCAATGGCTTCCAAGTGTTGAAAGATACTTGCTTTATTATGTCAAGCTGTTTTGTGTGTGGAGTCATTACTGCAATTCTAACTGACCACACATCACAAACCAAGACCCAGATACAAAGAAAATGCTACCTCTGAGTGTTAACCGGCCATGCGGTGGAAAGAATACAAACATGTTTCCCCCCTACAAGTTATCCTATCTTTTCCAATGACCCACCAAATCCCATTTGAATTCAACCGTCCATAATGATAAGAGAAGCAAGCTCAACAGAGTCAGGACTGAACTCAAATGCACAACGTACTTGTTTCTCCCTGCCCATCTTCTCAGAGGCATGATGCTTGGCTTAATGCTTAAAGCGTTGGGAAAGGAAGAAGCATCTATAAAAAATAACACAATGACTTCCCATCAAAGCAGGTTTTCTATTGTTCTGGAAAACCAAGTAATGTAAATGGAAAGTAACAGGAGGATGCTGAGCTGGCTCAAGGACTCACAGAGCTTTCCGCACACAGTCTCAAGATATAAACCACATCAGACTGACCCAGGCATGGTGGCTATGTGGACCCAAAGCAATCATTTGGCTCAGAATCAACTCAAACTTTCTAGACATTTTTAGGCAGCAGATCCTTACAAACATGTTCAACAGCATCCAAGCATTCAATCAGGGACAAAGCAAGGTCACTTAAATAGAATCATAAAATGCTCCATTTACCCATGGCTTGGGAAGAAAATGGTTGCAGTGCTAGGACTACACTTACTAAATCAGACTCCCTCATAATTACTTAACTGTTCATGTTAAATACATCACAACCTTTGTCAAGTATCCACAGCAAAGTTAAAAAAAATCTGAAAGGACTGGTATAGATTTTTAGTCGACTATACAATAAAGAAGCTGGCCTCTCTACATTTATAACCTTTTTATTTTTTTAGAATTTTTAAAAATTTTAAGAAAGATTTTACTTTAGGAAGAGAGAGAACGAGAAAGAGGACACATGAAGGGGGAGGGGCAGAGGGAAAGAGAGAGAGAGAGAGAGAGCGCGTGCGAGAGAATCTCAAGCAGATTCCATGCTGAGAGCCCGAGGAAGGGCTCCATTCCACGACCCTGAAATCATGACGTGAGCCAAAATCAAGGGTCTGATGCTTAACCAACTGAGCCACCCAAGTACCCCTACATCCTTGCTTAGTAAGCAAAACATAAACCAAATACCTGATTTCATCAGCTTCTGCTCAACTAGTCATCACCCTTCAAAATGGGGATTTTAACATACTTAAATATTACTTTCTGAATATTCTCCCAATCCCAATCTTAAAACACAAATCTGCTTGCAAACACATATTCTCCTTTCTATTCTCTATCTCCTTAGACTCCCACCCTAACTAAAAAAGTAAATAAATAAATAGAAGTTGTTTCTGTTTAGGCTCAAAAGCTGATTTAAGGAACTAGCTTCTCTTAACAGATTACTACAGAATTGAGACATTATGAACAGCTTTGTTTCCCTGTAGTTAACTGGATCTGACGATGCCTTTTCCTTTCACTTAATTTCTTTCTTTCAACACCACCAACACTGGAATACAAGCTTTATTCTCCTGCATCTTTTCCAGTAAGGGTGAAATACAAGCCACTAAATTAGAATCTCCCCTCTCTCACTGATAAGAAAACCAGGAAGTTGGATTTAAAGTGTTTGGTTTGTCCTTGTCCTCCTGGAAGAACTCCCGGTCGTTAAATTGACAGTGCAGCTGTTGCCTGAAAATTATACAGAAAGATTAATATATTCTCAAAATGATTTTCTGTCAGGCAAGTTGAGTGTTAAGGGCTTACGAAATACTTACATCTAAATAAAGGCAATGCTCTTTGTATCTATAGGAAACTAACAAAAATAATGTGGATGTAGATTATAAAGCTCAATTTTATTTTAACCCAGCACTAAATGACAAGAGTGTCCTGTGATGACCGACTGCTTGGACAATGTAGGGTGTCTGCCGTCACTGAGCCAAAATACGATCACATGCTTCAGAGTCAGAGGCCGGGTCCTCAAAGCAAGCCAGCTCTCCCAGGCAGAGATGAGAACAGGATGCCGGTGGCTTCTATCAACACCCATATGACAAGTGAGAAATAGTGAAATTTATAGCCATAAATCTTTCAGAGGCAAAATTAAGTCAGCAATTTATTGGTAATTTATGAAAAATACAGAAAACAAGGATAAAACAGCATTATGGTGCATAAAGATGCAACTGAACTAGTAGTCAAGGCTGAATTCTTGTCTTAGCTCCTTCTAACAGAACTCAGGTGAGCCCCTCTACCACTCCGATGAGGGTTGTCTTGATGGAACTTGATGATCTGCAGCAGTCTTTCCACTGTGAAATAAGCATTTTAGATGTAAAGAGGGAGGGGATCTACCTTACTGCAATTATATTTTAATGTCCACCACCTATTTAGTCCTAATAAACAATTGTTTAAATATGGTGATATTGATGTTTAAAAATTCTTAGACTTGGGCTTGGATGAAAATCCTCACACATCTAGTCGTAACCAAGATAAAACTGAATTTAGGTCAAGACATGCCCATCAAGACAGAAAGTGATGTCAATATGACACCTGGAACTTCCAGTTCTGTAATGTAACTTAATACTGTTAAAATGGAATTTCCTCTAGAATAGAAAATTTAAAGAAAACCTTTACTAAAATAAGTATAAAAATATTTTGTGGTTGCTAAAAAAAATTAAGGGACCTCAAATTTACTAGAAATTTCCCAATACACAAATACCTAAAAACAACTCACCTATAGGCTACCATCTGTTAAATTTTACTCAAAATAATTGTGTGCTATTCACATTTTGTTAGTTCTGATGGTGGTACAAACCAGTTTAAATTTACACTGGACTTGAGTAAAATTAAATACTGCATCAATAGTTAGGATGACCACTGATGTAGATTAAAAAAAAAAAAAAAAAAAAGCTATGGTTAATTTATGTAGACATTTTCTTATAAAGCCAAAATTTTCAACAGACTCCTTCATGTAATGAGGATACATGTATCACATGTAAACAGTCTTAGCACTAACTGCAAAGTATGTTCCCCATCATATTCATAAGAGCCCATATACTATACCTTTTCCTAGTGGCGTAACTAAAAAGCAAAGGTTTAAAAAAAAATCCATCAATGAAAGACCAAGAGATTATAAGAGAATGCTGTATTTTGGAGGTAAGATATAAAAATGTCAATAAAATAAGTGTGCAAAGCAAAAATTTCTCTTTTCTTTCCCATTAAAGAATTTTCTATTGTATATAAATAGACCTTATGTCTACACTTGTCCTTTAAGAACTCCATTTCTAAAGGACAGTAAGTTATTTCAGGAATTTCTCCTTTGATTAGATAAATATAATGTGACAAGAGCAATTCGGAGGCATTTGTATCACAAAAAAATTTTTTTCTAAGTTTGGTTAATACATTCTTAAGTGTTCACATCTGTACAACAGAAACAATTTTTTAATGGAACATATTATTGAAATGTTTAAATTTGGCTAAAGCTCTTAGAAGGCATTTTGTAGCATCCTACACACTAGATTCCATAACTCGGTTTAATCTTCAGACACCCACTTGTGCCAAAGTCAGCAGCACAGAAAATTCTATTTATCAAAACGGAGGTTCCTGTTTAAAGAACCATCTTTGATACCATTGATTAAGAACTACTTAAGTCCCACATGAACTCCTGTATCTGGCTTACTGAAATGACCAGTAAACTGCAGTATCATTCTGATTTTAGGGAACCGCAACGTTTCTGGAATGCCAAGAGCTCCAGTTTGACCTTGCAATGTGAATGTTCTGTGGCTTCCAGGGAGCTGCTGAGCAGCTGTCACATTTCCCAGCGGAACGGGGTGTAACATTCTTTCTGCTCACCGTGTTTATTTAATGGCACACTCTCTCAGGGCATGCAGTCGGCTGAGAACTTCAACCATCGTCATTCACTGTTCTGTACCCTTTGCTACTGTCTGTAGTCAAAAAAATTGTTTTTATCCATTTTAATCTCTCCACAATAAAGAAAAACACAGTATTTTAGCCTATTTGGGTCAAATTAATTTTATTATGCTCCATGATGAATTGCCACCAGTGCAACATCCTATCACTATACATTTCAAAAAAATTCACATACTAAACAAAATTTCAGTTGATAAATGGAAATGAATGATTGAAAAGTCTTTATGAATCTCACACATACAATACGTGGCTAGCTGAAATTGTCTATCACATAGCATATAAAAAGCCTCATGCTAGTTTGTTAAATGCGAAGGCTATCAGACAATCATTTAGCTGCTTTCAGACAACGCACAGGAATAGTGCTGCCCACAGTGCAGGTGGTGGAGGACTGAAACATGCAACCTTTACATCTACAGTGGGTTTAGTCTTCATGCCTGGACTGAACTCCACAGCTGCTGTGTTTCAACCAATAGTAAGTAATTTAGACTTTGTGCAATAACAATAACAGAAAGCCTTTTTTTCTTTTCTTCAAGAAAAATAAACTCAAGTACCTTTGGCAAATTTTGTTTAAAATTGTTTCCAACTCAAAGAATTGATATCCTTTTACTCAGAGCAGCTCCTGATAATACTTATCACACTGAAGTTAGCTGGAAAACCCTGAATTCCTTGGCCAAAAGTTAAGAGAGATCTTAAGTTGGCATTACCTTAAAGACATTTCTAGGATATTTAAAATGTTTTTTAAAATGCCAAAATGAAAAAAAAAGAAGGATGTTTAATATTACTTAAAATAATTATAATGTTCTATTTACCATTTGCACAAATTCCTAACTCTATTGGTTAATAGCTGTTCAGCCTCATCCACACCAGACTCAGCGTCACTGAGCGCAAGCCATGATAAAAATGAGAATAAGCAGAAAAAGGTTTCTAGCAGCAGAGGGCACTGTTTTTGCAAGAAACAAAAAGTCGACTCTTTCCCTTGTGTTTAAATTACTCTTGCAAGAAAGGTAACATTCTTTGAATAACTTAACTATCTTACTGCACCACTTACTGCTTTCAGCAACAAAACCTTTTAAATTATTTCTTATGATAACTAGATGCATGATCACTAGAGATTATGTGATAAATGGTTAAAATTCAAGCTGTATCTTGCAGGTCCAGCCTGTCAAGATCATGCCAATACTAGATTTTGGTCGGTACAATTCTAGAGAGCTTAATTTTTAGTTGGATATTGTGATTATAGTACTGAAATACATTTGGAACTACATTCTGCATATGACTCAATGTGAGAAAAATACGTGTCTGTATTTAAATCAGATCGTTTTTCTACCTAAAATTTAAAGTAGGTAGGTATGATAATTAGCACTATAAATATGAAAACAACCACCTTTAGGCAGATTAGTGTACTGCAGAGAGGCAAGGAAACCCTAATTTTAACACATCATTTAGCATACATAACAAATGTGCAGGTTGTAAAGTTTTATTTAAAAAAAAAGAATCTATCATTCAGTTATGTGGTTCAAGAAACATAACACTGGGGCCACCAATATTTTAGGAAAAATGTAACCCTTCACCTGACATTTGACAAAAACCTTGAGAAATTATATAAAAAAATTTTAAATAGTGTAATTAGTTCAGCATTACAGTGTTTACCTTTGCCAGCTAGATTCAATTTGTATGGTGGATATTTCTGAATACCTCAATCCATACAGACTATACAATAAAAATAATTCCACATTTTTAGAAATGTTCTGATTTTTATAGTGCATTTAACCAGATACTGAAGTAACCATAATGTATAGCCTCCTTCAGTTTATGTAGAGTATTACCCCTAAAATCCCCCGAACTGCAAAAACTTAACTATTTAAGAGTAATACCAAAAATATTTTTAAATTTTTGCCAAAAAGAGCCTGCCACATTTGCTATAGCATAAAAATAATCTCAGTCAAGTACAGGTATGCAAGGTCTCCTTGTGATTCCAGCCTCCAAATACCACTTCTGTCCAAGAACAGGCAATATTGTTTTAAGAGGTGTGTTACTAATTTTCCCAACTAGTGTCTCTGTAGTGACATTATGCAGAGCATATTGCTACAACTTGAGAAACTGCATCAGTGTAGTGATGTCTAGAGAACTGTGCAATGTGTCAGCTTCAACATTCATGTAGCATGGTGTTCAAAATGAAGGGGCTAAATAAGGTCTGTATCACTTAAAAAAGAATGTAGTGCTATACTAGATTTTAATAAGAAAATTTAGGTACAGAAAAAGTAGGGTATGAAAATAGTGTTTTCCTTCTGGCATTATAACTAAATTACATTAAGGTTTTTGTCAGTCTCACATATAATATTTAAACTCCCTTGTTGATGGAATGAAAAATATTCACAAATTAAGTGAGCATCCTGGTGTAAACTTGCACACAATAACAGGGAGTAGCTTTGTAGAGGATTTTGACAAACCTTTACAGATTAAATGAGGTATTGCACAGATTAATTAAAAAAAAAGCAAAAAAGGCAACAAAAATATACAGCAAATTGGTAGAACATTTACATGATAATTTTACAGAATCCATAGACAGAAAGTAGTGTTTAGTATTTCACCTTAAAAATATATATATATATAATATATAGATCAGTCTTCCCATTCATCATCATCCTCAAAATCTTCTTCCTCATCTTCATCTTCATCTTCATCTAAAAGAAAATCATCAAGGCAAACATTCAAAATATATGTATAAATAAAATAACATTACATGATTCTTGGATGAATTCTCCAATTACTTAACTTCTGAAACAAAACCATTCGATTCTGGAGAAATCTGGTAACAAAGACAATTTAAAATGAATCAAATAAAATATATCTAAAGAGTATAATGGTCAGTTGAAGATTAGACCAGGAGTCAGAAGACTTGGGTTCTAGTTCCTTAGTATCTATGTAGAGAATTTCAACCAGTGTTTGTTTATATGTAAACCTACATTTGGGTTTGTCTCTCAATTTTCACACATCTCAAATCCAAGAGAGGCCTCTTTAATGACTATTTTTAAAGAAAAGTTGTAAAAAATACACCTGACAGATTGTTCTACTACCAATTCCAGGTACAACTCCAGTGATAGGCAGGAAACTCATTGACACTGAGGACACTGAGCTACCAAGGAAACAGAGCAGGCAGACCAAATACCTAGCCTCCCTTCCTACTCTCCTATTCTCTTCTGAACCCAATGACATTGCTCTTTCCAGGTCACCAATGACCTACTGTTCCTAAAGCTAAAGCTCAATTTCCTTTTCTCACTTTCTTGACTGATCACACAGATCTAAACCAGATCATCACTCCATCCTACTTCAAACGCTTCATGTGGCTTCTGAGATACTGTACTCTCCAGCCTTCAGATCTTATTACACCTTCTCTTCTCTGTTTACATCCACTTCCTTCATGATTCCATCCCATTCTGTAACTTTAAATACCACACCTATTTTAATGACATGCAAATTTATTTTAACAGTCCAGACCTCGCCCCTCAACTCCAGGCTCATAACCAAATGCATAACATCTACATTTGAATTTTTAGTAAGTATCTCAAATTTAATATTTACAAAAACCAAACTGCTGATCTTTCCTCTCAAACCTGTTCCTCCTAAATCTTATCCTACTCTGTTAATGAAAATTTTACCCCTTTCATGCTCAAGTCAAAAATCCTGGGAGTCATCTTTCACTCCTTTCTTTTTTCCATCCTCACTCCTAATCCATCAGCAAACTCAAGGATCTCCACAGTCAAAATACACCTAGTATCCAACCCCCAGCTCAGTGGTGCTACCAATCTGATTCAAATCTTTGCTATCTCTTGCTTGGATCATTGCCATTCCTCTGCTAGGGGCCTTCCATGGCTTCCCATCATATTCATGGCCTCCAGAGTCTTAACCACTGGCCTCCTACTATCTCTCCTACTTCATTACCTTACTGTTCTTTCCCCTCCCTTCCTTACTCAGCCATACTGGCCTCACTGGTGTTCCTCAACCTCAGGGACTTTGCACTTGCTGGTCTTTCCACCCAAATGAACACACTTCCCCCCATCTTCTATATGGTTTACTCCCTGAACTCCTTCTGGTCTTTTTTCAAATGTCACCTCAGTTAGGCCTCATCTTATTTCAAAATGAACTTCCCTCTCACATCCTGTAAGTCCCTGTATCTCCCTTTTCTGCTTAATTTTTGTCCTTAGTACATATCACCACTTAACATATTATATATTTTTCTAACATAGTTTGTTTACTGTTTATCTTTCACCAGAATGCATGCTCCATGGAGGCAGGGATTTTTTTTTTTTTAATTCCACAATAAATATCTGCAGAATGAAACAGCCTATTTTCTCTTTATCACACAGTATGAGAATAATTATGTCTATTTAAGGAAAATAAATATTGGTAATAGATCCTAGATAGCCACATCCTCACAGAGAAATAAAGAGAAGAAAAATGACATTTCTTGAGTACTTACTATGTGCTAGATAATCTGCTGGTTAGTTACATATTATTTTATTTATTCTTCATGTCGATCATGATTCATGAATTCTCTTCACATAGCAAGTAAGAAAACTGAGGTCCACAGAGAGTAAATAATAGATTCAAAAAGAACAAAAATCTGATTCTGGTACATCATGCCAGGAAGCTTTAGTAAACCTCAAGCATTGTATCAGCAAGACCCACTGTTTTTTCTCTTTTGAAAGTAATACCCACTTATATGGTGGCCACTTTTAATAATGGCCTCAGAATAGAGACTAGTTTTTTTCACATAAACCTTTCAGGAAATCACAAAAAGGAGGACACAGAAAACTTCAAGATTTTTTAGCAAATCCCAGAAAACCCAATTTCTCAGCCCTGATTCTCACAAACCAGGAAAACCTGAATTTCTTATGTCACAGCAATGTGATCCAGAATCTCAAGCCTCATTTAGAGATTTGCCAGGCATTCTATTAGTATTTTCAGTATAGGAAATCAAATTGCTATTTTTCTGAAGCTGTTCTTCTAATTTATGGTTATGGATATGGTGTCCTGGAATCCATTAAGCTTCAGACAGACTAGTCACAGTGGCAATAACTTTTAAATATTGGCCCTAAAATCCACATCGGTGTTACTCAAGAGCAGAGGAAAAGCTAGCAAAGACTATCATAAAATCAAAAGAAAATAGAACTTCAAATATTAAAATTAAATATATATATGTACATGTAAATATACCTGAAGAATGAATGGCTTTGCTCCTTTTCTGCATCACCTCCATTAATGCACCCACAATTCCTGAAGTGGGTGCAGGTGTTGGTGGTGTAGACTCTTGGCCATCAGATACCTTGGAAAACAAAGTCAGCAAAATTTAGAAATAAATTTTTAGTAAAAAATTTTTGTCTCCAGAAAGTCTTACTTTTTTAGAATCACTTCCTATTTAAAAAAAAAGAAAAGGAAAAAAAAAAAAAAGAGCACATGAGCCCAGGACAGGTTTAACTAAGAAGTAACGGTTGCCTTAAAATTATTCTTATACTCCCTAGTGTATAAAGCCATCAACACATTTCCAAATTTAGAATAACAAACCTTTCCCTAAGTAATACTTACCCAGGCAGATGGATTACTTCTGTCCATTTTCATTCTAGTACACAATGCCTTAGTTGATGAAACTTTGAAACTATTATCAAGGAACATTATTTTAACAAAACTTAAGTAATATCCAGATTCCTAGAGGTGTTAGGTGAAAAGGACACTTAAGATACCTAAGAGCAACTGAAGAGACTTCTGCTCTCCTACAAAAACTCAGCTTTACAAATAAGCTTTGTAACTTTACATACTATATATATAATTATACATTATATATAATTTTGACTCAAAATGAACCTTCATTCTTATAGCATATTTCTCTGCAAAGAGATTAGTTAGGTAGCTTTCAAAATGTACCTATCTCACAAGACAACCAACTATCCCTAACTGAAGTACTTCTATCTAGTATAAACTACATTCAAGGGGGGGGGGAATCAACCTCAAGGGGTCTCATTAAAATCTAATTTCTATGCAAAATACTCTGATTTCAATTCTCATTAAAAAAGAGAGAATACAGGAAATCTGTAGAGATTCAGGGGGAAAAAAATTTAGAAAGTACCTCCCTAAGTGTACTTTGGCTAAAATGAGCAGTCATTTATACAAAATACTGATTTTGTTAATTTGTCTCTGGAATTATATTACCTATGTAAAGGTAGAATATTGGTATAATTAAAAATGAAATCACACAGCTGCTTTATTTCTAAGTCATTTCCCCCCAGAAATTACTTTGTTAGGGCAAACGTCTTCCTTTGGTCTTAACAATTCTTCTTCTAATACTACTTGTCTTTCCGGACTTACAGATCTTTTTCTTTTAAAAATATTCAAAGTAATTCCCCATAAGATACTGACTCATTCATTGGTATTTAGGTTTTTGGAGACCAGATGTTAACTATTACTGGTATAGAAATACCATAAATGAAAAAGACAACAGAAATAGTTTCAGAGCTTTGAATGTCAGCATGAGGCTCTCAAAGAACTGTAGCAGCAATAAGGAGAAAGAGACTCCCTTTAAGCAATCTGGTAAAACGAGGCAGGAAACACCGCAGGAGCATGGCAGCAGCACGAAACTGCCGTAAACATGTTTTCTAAAGCACTGACTTGGACATGCTGCTGTCTGAGGTACTATGAATACGGAATTCAAAATATATGTAAGTGAATACTTATACCCTTACTGCCAGTTCTTTAAAGTAAATCTGTGATCTTATGTTAGTCATTTTCATCACTGAATAAATGATTTATATAGATTGTTTAAAAAAAAAAAAAACAGAGAAATTTCAGCCACAGAAAGGATTTCTTCTTTTTTTTCCACAGAAAGGTTTCTTAAAAAGGAAATAAAATTATGGACTCAAATCACACATATAACATGCTAATAATTCACTGACTTATGCACTCTAGGATAGTAGTCTGTAGTTAATTTTTTTAAAGTGATTATTTAGGGTAAGGATGACCTACACTTATAATAGAACACATTTTTTTCTCTAAAAGAAATGCAGAGATCAGTTAACAAGGTTTTTTTGGGCAGGGAGAGAGTTGGGATGGGATGGGAAGACATAATGATGGGGAAAATAAATATGGTATTTAATTCAGCAACTTTTTAAATTAAGAAAAGAGGACACAATTTAATTCATTAAAAATAACACCTTATTAGTATCAGCAACTGAAAAAGAATCAAAAGTTGATTGTGGAAGAGAGAGGAAATATGAAAGAGAAACAAAAAGTAAGAGTGGCAAATGTGGGAATGAGTGACACAGAGATGGCACAGATTCTAAACTACAAGCTTGAAAATGACTCCATTAAAACCTGTTATTCACCTTAGTTGTGGTCATTTTGACACTAATTCTTCCCACTAACACCTGTTTAAAATTCTTTAACTGCTCCTGAGAAACCTTTAGTATAAGCTAAAGGGGGAGAGGGAGCAGAGACGACTGCTCACAGGTTGATCATGTAGCAAGAAAAAGCTCTAGATACATAGTAAAGATGAGAGTTTTTAAAACTGTGCTATACCAATGTTGAGATGTTTTCATTCAGTTAGCTGTGTTCCCTATCCATCATTCTCTTCCTAGCCAAAGCTTTGGAGATTTAGAAAGTTACCCTAATTCCCTATGTCCCAAAATAATTTTCAATTACCCCTTCTTTCATCTTTATTTACTGCATAGAAAAATCTACCATCCATTAACCATCTGAAGCCCTACAGAGCAAATGTTTCCCTTTGGAACTGACACACTACATGTGCTATCAGAAGTACGTAAATGCAAGCAGTTTAGGTTCTAGAAAAGGGGTCAGCAAACTATTGCCCATGGGCTAAATCTAGTGTGTCTTATTTATGTAGAACCTTTTAAAGTGAAAAACGAGTTTTACATTTTTAAATGGCTGGAAGAAAATCAAAAGAAAAATATGTGTGACATGTAAGAATTACATGAAAATCAAATTTCAATGTCCCTCAATAAAGCTTTATAGAACACAATCATGCCCTTCAATTATGCATCATCAGTACTGCTGCTTTTGTGGCACAACAGTAAAACTGAGTTTTTGGGACAGAGACCACATAGCCTGTGAGCCTAAAATATTTACTATGTGGTCCTTTAAAAGAAAAAAAAAGTTGCCAACTTCTGCCTCATCCATTAAAGAGATTCCAAAATTATCTATCACCACTATCCAAAATTCTATTAGAACTCTTTCCATTATCGGGCACCTGGGTGGCTCAGCTGGTTAAGCGACTGCCTCCAGCTCAGGTCATGATTCTGGAGTCCTGGGATCAAGTCCCAGATTGGGCTTCCAGCTCCATGGGGAGTCTGCTTCTCCCTCTGACCTTCTCCCCTCTCATGCTCTCTCTCACTCTCTCTCTCAAATAAATAAAATCTTTAAAAAATTTAAAAAAAAATGGAAAGAGTCCATTTTCTGCAGAGTCAGATTCTCTACTAATGTAAATTTCAGAACACAGGAACTTTAGAATACAGTTTAGTTTTCATAAAGGTAATGGTTTGAACTTACCAAGGTGATTATAAATGGTTATAAGTAGGGTTACTTCTCCATAGTTTGAAGATTTTTCTTTAAATTTAAAGTAAATTTTATTCAGAGGTGAAGTCTAGAATAACAGCCAACATGTTGTAATACTCCACTTACATGAAGTTCTAGAAGAGGCAAAACTAATCTACAGTGACAGAAATCAGATTAGTGATTTTTCTGAGAGGGGGACTAACTGGAAAGAGGCATGAGGGAACTCTCTGGGGTGATATTTCATTTTCAGAAGTATGGGTTACACTGGGATAGGTATAAATGTGTGTGTTTTACAGTATCTAAAAATAACAGGAAAAAAGGGTTAAAATATGAATACCAAGACAAAGTGCAAAGAGTGAAATAAAGACTTTCCAAGTTGTCTTATAAATGACTTTAAAATTCCATTCTGACATAGTCTAAACAGAAAAGAACGGCTTACTCACAGATTTCAGCTGAATACCCTGTCGTATCTGGTCTAAAAGTGCATCCCGTCCAGAGCAGGACACCGGTCGACTGTTCTGTTCCACTTTTTTGAGCTGAGCACCCTCTCTAATCTGATCTAAAAGAGCGGCTTTGTTTCCCGCAGGAGTTGGGACTTGATGGTCACCATCAGAAGGGAGGCCAGGGGGAGGCGGCGGCCCCGGTGGAGGTGGAGGTGGCGGTGGCGGGGGTGGCGCCGCGGACCCCGCCAACGACAGAGGTGGAGGTGGTGGCGGAGGCCCTGCCGGTGCAGATGAGGGAAGGGCTGGAGGTGGAGGCGGGTACATCCTATTTGGTGGCGGTGGAGGGACTCCTACACCTGGCCTGGACGGAGGCGGTGGTGGAGGTGCAGCTGTGGGAGCTCTTGACGGCGGCGGAGGAGGAGCGCCTCTCCCCCGGGCAGGAGGGGGCGGAGGGCCTGAGCTATGTGGAGGTGGGGGAGGAGGAGGCGGCCCTCCCCTGGATGGTGGTGGAGGAGGTGGTGCTGAAATAAAAAACAGAAGAAAGACAGCATGCTTTTCCCCCACAAACATCATACTGAAAACAAACTTACTTCGACAGACATTAAAAAGAATGACACAAGAAAAAAAAGGCCTCATCTCTGTTATTTTATTTTACAAAGGTATGCGAGCACAGATGCTATCTTATCGTTCTATTGGGGAACACTCAAGATCACCTTCTTGCTGTTTCTTGAAAAATATTAGCTAAAGCTGTTGAATTTAGTTTTTAGGAATCAGCATCACTTTGGGAATACACACTTTCTTATATAATAACAAAAATATCACAACAGAATTAAACACTTTGGTCAATTAGCATTATTTAACATTTTAATAAAAATTAATGGATACCTTCCTTCTTTAAAGAATTGAGTTTATTTAGTTACTTTATAAAATTAATTTACATTCAGAATTATATAGCTGGCGTAGCATAACCTATCCCCGTTTACTCAAGTTAATCTGAGCTAAACCCAAATTGAATACTTTTTCTTTTAAAATTTAAACCTTGCCACCTTACATTTATATTTTATAATGTCTTTACTTTCTAAAGAATATAGAATATATTAAAACATGTATGCTATAATATATAATAATATATGTAATATTCCATATTTCTCTAAGATGGTCAATAAAAATTCTAGTGATGGCAGTAAGGAAGGCTTGCTCAGGTGAAATATTCAACTACTTATTCAGAAGACACAACTAACTATTAATAAATTAACTGAGAATTTCTTGGGGCACCTGGGTGGCTCAGTTAAATTAACTAGAATTTCTATTCTGAAAAACTGAACAAAAGTTGTTAATAAAATACTAAAACTATTTTGGTATTAATGATATTCATATTCTTTTTCTACTTAAGTAAAAGTGTAAGATATAACAAAGAAACAAATTCAAAATACACATTTATTACATTTCTGAAGGCATGATTTCACCAATAGTATAAACAAATTTACATAATAATGAACTTCATCACTTCTCCATTCATTTAGAGACTGGAGAGAAAAATTCACTATTTTTAGAAGTAGAGAAATCCTAGAATTCATAAAAACTATTTGTATTTACTGATATAAACTATCTCATTGATGGACAGTTCTATAATCTTATGAAATACTAATGCCAACCCTAACTACAAATAACAACAAGCACCTTTCGATGTTCAACAATACAATGATACCGGGGATGGGGGGGAACCCTCATTTCAAAAGAGATAAAATGGAATCTTCCAATTTGGGAGGATCATGGGAAATAGGCTACCATATATAAATATTAAATAAAATATGCAGAAAGACCAATACTCATAGGGTATTGTCTCCTTGCATTCAAACTTTATTTTATTTTATTTTTTTTTAAATTAAGATTTTATTTATTTATTTGACAAACAGAGATGACAAGCAGGCGGAGAGGCAGGCAGGGGGCGGGGTGGGGGGGGAAAGAGACTCCCTGCTGAGCAGAGAACCCGATGCCCGATGCCGTGGCTTGATCCCAGGACTCTGGGATCATGACCTGAGCCAAAGGCAGAGGCTTTAACCCACTAAGCCACCTAGGCACCCGCATTCAAACTTTTAAAGGTGAAAATATATCTGCAAATGGTAGAGTTACCCCACTTATATGTCAGCTATCACAGAGAATAGAGACAGTAAGTACATCAAATCCTTCCAGCAATTTTAATCACTCTGAGGTTTATATTTCAAAGAGTTATGATCTAGTTGTTTGTTAATCAAGAGGAAAATATCCACCTCATTCTACTATAAAAAGTACTAGTAAATCATTTCTCATGGTCTCACTGAGCACTCTGAATCCACAATTTTTTATATGTAAAATGATGCACTTCTTCAGTAGAGAGAATAAAAGTTCTTTCGAACTTGTAGGTAAGTACCTTTATTGGAGTAATTTGTACTCTAGCTATTATTCATTGGAACAGTTAAGTCATTGCCAAGGGGAAAGGGAAGCCTTAATTGATTGTGAGTAAATTATTAACTGCATCCAGTTTGGGTACAGCAGAAGTTCAGCATTTCTATGATCTTGAAAAGTGACTGGAAATGTCTCTATATTTTTATGAGGAAAATCTCTATTACCAACTTCCTATTTTTTTATAGTCCATATTATTTCTACATAAAACTAAGTATGTAAAAAACATGCCATATCCCAATGTAAAAATGTGAAAGAATTAAAAAAAGAGAGGAATGGGCACACTGGGAGTTAGAATGTTTCCATGCACAAATATGCCTGTTAAGCAGATACCACACACATCAAGAGAAAATCTGATGGTCTAGAGACTTGCAAAACTCAAATACCAGAATCAGAATGACAATAGTTCCTAGAGTTCTAAAAAAGAAATAAAGTCAAAGTTATGACAAAAGTCACAACAAATAAAACTTCTTACTATCAGTTTAGTTAAAAAGGAAGAAAAACTGGCATTTACAGAAACTTGTCTTGAGGTTATACTACAAAAAAAGCTCATATACTTAAGAATTATTATTATTGCAGATCAACATTAAGAGTAATAGATAACTAATCTCTAGGTACTTGACATTTATAGGTATTATAAGCAAAAAATATAAAGCAATAGAAATATAACTACATTAAATGCACTCTCATCAAAGTAAAGCAACAGAAAAATATTATTCAAGACAAATTTAAATTTATGGGAATAATGACAACTCCCAGAGTAGGCATGTATAGAGCTGTGTGTGTATTTATATTAAATTATATTAAATTTATGGGAATACTGACAACTCCCAGAGTAGGCATTTATAGAGATGTGTGTGTATTTATATTAAGTAGCCCCTCCCTGACCCAATTTATATATATATAATATATATAATATTGTATATTTTATATAGGTTACTGAAATAACACCAAGTGTGAAAAGCAATCATTAGGAATAAGTATAATAAGCAACAAAAAAAACAGTGGTGCTATGGGTAAGAGGTATTTTTAAAATATCCACAGAATTTCATTACAATCATCTAAAGTATAGATGAAATATGAGCTCAGACTCATACAGAAATCAATTAGTTTGAGTAGAGGGCAAATAATCTTACTAATGTTAGATTTGGAAGCAGGATAAATGAACTCCAGCTTCTTTGACAATAAACATATCAAAGCATGCATAATTTAAAGCACTGGGTCAAATGACATCCCACATACATACCACTCCATTGTGGTGGACCTACACAGATTATTGAGTTAATGGCCTTTGAACAATTGCATAGACACACAAAAAATATGTTGGAAATCACAAGTCTACTACTTTTAAAAACCTGATTATATAATTTTGAAAAACAAATTTCAAGAGATTAGATTCAGTAGATTTTATATATATATATATATATATATATTTTTTTTTAACAAAATATATTTTTAAGACAACTTCATAAGCTGCTGTAATTTTTTTATACTTTTGAACACATATATGTTCTCCCTGGAAAACATTTCCTTAGTAAGTCATTAGTTTTTTTATTCTTCCTTTGAACAAATTTACCTTCTAAAAAATCATTCTTTGGTGTCTAAAAGATTCCACACTGGGAGTTAGGTTCTTGAGTATGACAAGAATTTAAACTTGTTCCCAAAGCATGTTTTTTAATGCCTGTATATTGTTTTGTTTTAGGTAATTCAACTGAGGAAAGACTTTGCCTAATTTGATGCTTTAAAAGCAGCTAGAATAAAGAGCAATCACAACAAATTTTAAAAACCAAACCCAATCAAATTAATATAGTCAGCTCTTCCAAAGGAATTCAGGTGTGAAGGCAGATGCATGGATGGCCTAGTAAATGTCAAGAGTGATTCATAAACTTATAAATTCAGAGAGCTCAGAGAGATGGCAGGCGACATCCGATAGAATAAAGCCAAAGTGTGTGGTAACAGTGGACAAAAAGAGAGTCAAGGAACATAATACTAGTAAATGTGAATTACTCTGGGAGCATTTAAAAACAAAAACGGTGCTATGTCCAAGATGTTTTTATCAAAAATCCAGAGAATCTGGAAATACAGTTTTTTCAAAAAATAAATTAGCATATGAGTTTCATTAAAACTAACACTATGTTTCTACAATAGCAATTATTGACTGTATACTTGTTAAGTATCTGTTTCCACACTAGACTGTAAGATTTCCGAGGATAGAAACTGCTTATTTACACCTAAATATCCTGAGTTGAAATGAGTGCAGACATAATAATGTTTACGAATATATGAATGAATGAAAGACTGAATGAATATCAGTAGTGAAAAAGATACAGATAAGTCAAATATCAAATTTAAAATGACAGTTAAATTCCTCAGAAGAATACTTTAACTGGAGTACACAAAAACTAGGAAGAAGCAAGCCCAAATGAATAAGGTGGCAAAGAAGACTTTTTAATAAGAAAAACCTTATCAAATTATTAAGTTATATCAAAATAATGCAAAGCAGCCAGGCCAAGCTACTTAATTTATAATTTCAAATATTCTGTTTATGGAAAGTTCATATGAATGTGTGTAGTTGTTTCCAGGAAACTGACCTCAAAAGATTCACAAGGAAAAAAAGATTAGAATGCCTGAGTAGAAGAAAAAAGTTACCTTGCCTTCTTAGTTCATTTTTAACAGCTTCTACACCTCCTGTTTTTTCAATGAAGTCATATATAACTTTTGATGTTTCTCGGTCTTTCAGTTGTGCCTCTGAGATTCCACACATATCGAAAAGATTCTTCAATTCTGGATCCAAATTATTCAGCTATAACATATAAAGTAACTGTTAACTATAAAATCTATCCCAATTTCTAAAATTAAGCATAATCAAATTGAAATTTAGTTTTCACCTGTGCCCATTATGAAATTATTTTAAATTTATATACTTTTTAACATGGTTAGATTATTTATAAGCCAATGAAACTTTCTTATTTAAAAGAAATAGAAAAGATAAAAAAATAAAATTTTCTTTTTTTTTGTTCTCTCTTCAAAAAGAAGGCATCTCATTAGAGCTTTACTAACCCATTCATGATTCAGACATCTCCAACCTATTCGCCTATTACTAAATTTAGATATAATCACAAAGAAACGAGGAAACTCTGTCAATTTGAAAATCTGAAGCACCTCCTTATAACCTCAGCGTCCTGGACAGAGCCCAAAACAAGGAAGCATTCAATAAATGTTGTGGAGTTAACACTGTAGTCAATAACAAAAAAATTTCTGACATCATAAATATTTCTCTTCAAAATAATTTTTCCAAACCCTGATTATCTGTTAAATGTGAAATACATATTACTTAAGCAATCAAAACAGATAAAGTGTTAAAAACACTTATTTTTGCTAGCAGTTTCACTTATTTGCTCATAGGGCTAAAAATAAATAATGACAAAAATGCCAAAAAGAATGGAATGAAAAGATCTAGCTAATTTAAAAACTGGATATTCAGAATTTGATTATAATACTTTTCAGTACTATTACTTTCCAGTAATTTGGCATACATTCCCCTAAAATATCAGTTAGCAAAAATAATTTTCTTCTCTTGGCTGTCAACACACAAGAATTTTATATTATAGTATATAAGATTTTATTTATATATTTATTTATTTGAGAGAGACAGAGAGAGACAGTGTGTGCGCTAGCAGGGGAGGAACAGAGGGAAAGGGAGAGAGAGAATCTCAAGCAGACTCGAGCATAGCTCTGACGCAGGGTTCAATCTCAAAACCCTGAGATCATGACCTGAGTCAAAATCAAGAGTCAGACTGAACCACCCAGGCACCCCAGTATTACAGTATATCAATTCAAGGAGTATAAAACCTTTGCCTTATAGATATAGCCATAAATAACAGAACAATACTGAGGTTTCCAACCTCAGTGGTGTATGTACATAAACACATTCAAATAAATGCTAAAATTCACTAAAATGAATAATAAAAATCTACACACAGGCCACAGCATTACCACATATTTATTTATTTTAAAGATTTTATTTATTTATTTGATAGAGAGAGAGAGAGAACACAAGCAAGGGAGTGTGAGAGGGAGAAGCAGGGTTCCCGCTGAGCAGGGAGCCTGATGTGGGGCTCGATCTCAGGACCCCGGGATCATGCCCTAAGCTGAAAGCAGACACTTAACCGGCTGAGCCACCCAGGTACCCCGCATTACCACATATTTACAGCAATAATATTTATGGCTTGAAAAGATACTTACATCAAAGCCAGTATTCGGATCCCAACCAACATGTCCAATGTGCCTAAAGAAGTAGACCAAAAATATGTATAAATAAAAAACAGAAAATACATAAACAGCATTTAAAACATAAAATATATGAAATCCAATCCAACCAATAAATTTTGGGCCTGAGCTAATAATTCTCACAGACATACCCATATTCAGGGAAAAACTGTGTGAGGGGTCAGGAGGCCAGGACTGGCCTCAGTTAAACTGAGTTTTAATATTTTTGCATAATCTTTCTGAGTATCCATTTCCTCAACTGTCAAACTAGCAGAAGAATACAAGCATTTTATATATATATATATATATATATATATATATATGAATAGGAATTTTGTAATGAGCTAATGAAATGATGTATATGTATATGAAAATGCTTAAAATATGTCAAATAAATACCAAAGGTTTGATGCCTACTATAGACTAAATGTTTGTGTCCCCCCAAAATTCCTATGTTGAGACCTAATACCCAGTATGATGATAATATCTGGAGGTAAGGATTTGGGGAGGTGATTAGGTTTTGAGGGTGGATCCCTCAAAAACAGGATTAGTACCCTTAAAAAAAAGGCCCCAGAGAGTTCTCTTGCCCTCTTCCAACATGTGAAGAAGACAGCTAGAAGCTGCCTGGTTAACAGCTGTTAACCAGGCAGTGGAACCTCACCAGACACCAAATTTTGCCTGCTTCTTCCCAATCTCCAGAACTGTAGAAATAAATCTCTGTTGTTTAAAAGCCATTCAGTCTATAGTATTCCTGTTATAGTAGCCCAAATGGGATAAGACAGTGCCTCTAGGCAATTTCCAAATACCATTTATAGAGGAAAGTGAGAAATCATCTCCAACAATTAAAGAAACAACTTAATCTAGTTTTTCTTTCCTGATGAATAAAAAGGTAAATAAACTGTAAGATTCACAGAAAGTCTACTGAACAACAGCCTTAAACACACACATACACACACACACACACACAAAAACAATTCCAACAAAATCTATAGAGAAAAAAGTATGCAAATGATAAATGTATAAGAAAACAAAATTTCCTAACAAGGTAAAAATCAAGAGCAGGAGTAAGTTAATTGAAAGATAAGAAAAACAAAAGAACTCTTACTGGAAATTGCTTGGTGTTCCGATATCTGCCTTAGTTAATCTCTTCTTTTTAGCTTTTCCTTTTTTCTTTTCTTTGGTATGGGAGATGTTGTTGACCTGTGGACCATAAAATCTATTGGTTGTGATTTCCGGATTTTTTATATCAACTGTTGCCATGGGTAGATTAGGACCTGCAAAACAATATGAAAGGGATATAATTTAAGATAACAATTATTACATTCATAATCTGTAATTTAAATATCTTTCTCTGAAGTAGGACCGCTTCACTAATATAAATTATTTAAATTTTAAAGTTGCATGTTAATTTTTTATAAATAATGGATAAAGTACTACCGAAATTTCAAAAGCATATAATAAATTCTTAAACACATAAGCACAGATGTTACTTCAAAGAGAATTTGTATTTTTATAACATTAAATCTCATGAAAAAAAATTTTCAGTAAAAATTTAAATTTAATTGGTCTAATCCCTTAAATTTTGATTATAATAGCCTCACACACACAACCCATTACTTGTTGGTAAAGTGCTATATATGGCATAATAAGAATAAAAATTAAAAGGAGCATATACTTTTTAAAAAAAAAATCTGACAAAAAAAAATCTAGTCTTACTTCTCTGTTTCAACTTTATTAGTCATGAGGGAAAAAAAGTACTTATACAATTATTACTATTATTATTTCCAAAATACCGTACGTAAGTCCAATAATGTTTTCTCTATCGGTATACATACACTTTGACTATTGGAAGTACAGGGCTCAAAAATGAGATGGAAAAATTCTCAAAACATTCGTCTTCCACAATAATCAACAGTGAAACTATCTCTGGCATCTTCAGATATTATCAACAGCACCTTTAGGAGTGACCTTAAATATAATATACAAAACCTGTTTTATAATTCACATATTCTTGGCTTTAAAAGCACAAGTCTAAATGAAATGTATTCAATTTAAAAATGCCTTATAAATTTAACTAAATGGCATCACATGTTCCTTAGAGAGTCCATTTTAATATAGGGTTCTCTGACAAAACCACTTATTAGACTAAATTCCTATGAGATAAGTACATTAATGACAACTTTCAAATGCTGTATAAAATGGAACCACTACTGCGCAGAGAAACAGTTAACATAGCAGGCCCAAGACTGCCATCCTTAGAAAGGGCTGCTTGTAAGGTTAGCTCTGAGCTGGCATCTGGAAACGGGGATTCCAAGAGGGTTTTTATCATTCCCTGATAAGATGGGCCCATTGTGCCTCAACTATTTGTGCTAACAATGTGCTGATGCTAAACACCTGCTTTCCTTTTGGGAGTCTAGTACCTTGGTATGTGCTAGACATAGGAGGCCTCTGTGAGTAGCCCCCAATAAACTGAGTGCCTAGTGAGTTTCTCCTTTAGACAACATTTACCATGTGTTGTAACAACTTATCAAAGGAATTATGTGCATTCCCTTTGACTCCAATGGGAGAAGACTATGGCAAAGTTGTATGTAATTTCCCTCAGACCTTACCCCTTGTGTATCTCCCTTTGATTTTGTTTTATATCATTCCACTGTTATAAATCTTTGCCATGAATACCCCAATACAATGGAATACAGAAATCCCAAGAAGTTACAGGCTAACGTAAATTAGGTGATAACTAAATGTCAATTTGACTGTATTTCTTCAATTGCACTAAAACCTCAAATGTAGCCTATTCATTAAAGTTACCTGAAAGAACAATGTTTATCTAAATGGATCAATTATATATAACCCATGTTCTCTCTTTCAACTCTACTATTCAAGATGAAATAGAGCTAAAATAATTTACAAAAGCCATCTAACACCTTATCGGACAAGTAAACAATTTGGAAAGATTTGAATTTTTAGTATCACCAAAATTCAGCTCTTTTCTCTTCATAATCAAACTCTACTTACATGTAAGCATCTAAAAGTTCTATTTGTATTTCATATAAAATTTTTTCATACAGATTTCTAAAGGAAGTTGCTCACATTAGCAAGAAATAAAGAAATTGTTATCTGAAAAAAATGGAACCTAGTGAATAATATGGGTAAGACCATTAAAACAAGCTGATTCAGTGTCAAGGAATAATAAAAATAACCGGATTAAAAATTAAAGGTTAGTTATGCAATACAGAAGGCTGATGAAATAGAAGATAAAGACTAGGATTTTCAAATTTGTTCACATATCAGATTTCAGTGTTTACTGTAGTTTCACAAAGTAAAGGACTTATTGAGAATACCTGGAATCCAAGTGTTAGAGGGTCAAATCTGTGTTATACTCAAAGGCTTATCTACTGATCTGTTTCTCCTTCTCATCCTTCCTTTTCTGCCTTCCCTCTTTTATTTATAACTTTAAAAATCAGTAACAGCTACACCATCCATGGTAAGATGCCACAAATCACTACTTACTCTTTTCTTTATATTTAATAGAATTTAAGGATTAACTTAAGACTGATTTAGGAGTATCAGAATAAGACACTCTCCTTGTACCTTACCACCCCTCCTGAAATAGGTGTTCAAAGAGCAACTATAAAGGAACAACCAGATTCACCATAAAAAAAAAAAAAAAAAAAAACCACAAAACTATTAGTTTTTAGAAAAAAACAAAAATGAAAATATTCTGCTGCTTTAGGTTATATGAAAGTTATTATTATACCATGGATATTTTAAATGGTAATAGAGTTGGGTAAAGTGGAGAAGCGTAATAGTTTTAATTATCCAAGTTAACAAATTCTTTCCTGGGAAATTTAATAAAGTTAAGATTCTTATAAGCCTGATCCATAACTCACTAAAGAAAATAATTCAGCCATCTCTGAAGAAAGTTTAAGAATAAAGAAGACAGGAACAAAATAGAAGGGGTATGTGGAATGAATAACAAAGTTTAATTCATACTGTAGTCAGACTGGGTTTCCCCTCCTCCCTCTACCCCAAGAGGAAGTGTGGATATACTGTTACTGTCAAGCAGTCTATAAAGCCTTTAGTGTCATTACACATGAATTTTTTTAGTACTGGTTAAAACATTATTTAATTAAGTCTATACAGGAAAATTCAAATTATAGAGATAAACAGAAAATTAGTATTAGCTGCGTTAGCTGGGAAATTAGAGAGTTTTCCACACTTTTCATCTTATAGTTGAAAACTAAGGATGAGAAGTGTCAGGTGACCTGTCTAAAGTCACACAATTAGGGACAAAAAGCAAAGGTGAACTCTGCTTTCTTGATTCCTAATCCATTAACTACTACTGTACTTTTTACACTAATGTCAAACCACAAGGTGACTGATAATGCTAACTTTACCAATGTTGTCATATATTATTTCCTTACCAATTAGTTCTCTCAATTTATATAGTTTAACAGTTTATCATTCAATAAATATTTACTAGTAACTTTCAAAATTTAGGGAAAAAAATTCCTACATAATCATGAGATTAAGGACTTGGTTATCTCTGTTGATAATAGTCATTTACTTTAGAGTTTGAAGGTGTTTGGAAATTAGTTTAAAACGATGTTGTAAAGCCCAATTAAATATTTGTTTCCAAAAGTGACAACTGGTGTAAGGCACAGTCATTTTTAAATGAAGTTTATGGAAGATCTGGTAATGGAGATACACCTAAATCACTTCTAGTAAAAATTAAGTATTCCATTTATAAAATTATACTCATCCTAAGAACATACACTAAGGGGATTGTTTCCCTTCTTTAAAAAAAAAAACCAAAAACTAGTCAAATGACAAATTACCATTTTCTGATTAAAGACAACTGCTACAGAAAAGGCTTTTTAATATTCTCACTGAACAGCATTTCTAGTTAATTTTAAAACTGAAAGAACAAACTAAAGTCTTCCCCTTAATTACATAAAAAGCAGAGAACTCTCACCAAGGTAAAATAGTTGAGAAACAGGTGGCCCAGAGGCCTCTGATGTCAAGCAGTCATGAAGCTGAGAACAAATCATTGGAAAGCGTCTAAGCTAAAAGGTGAGACTGACCGATGAAGAAAAAAGAAAGATGTATGGATTAGGAGTTAGTGAGGAAGACACTGAATTGCATTTCAGGAATATATGCTACTTCTACATAAAGTGTCTTTTCAATAGTTACAATTTGAAAATGTCTACTAAACTGATCATCCATATGGGGATTTAAGACAAAGCACCTGCAGGGACACAGCAAGGTGGATAAGGTGTCCAGTGCACCTGGTAGTAGTGTACCAAATGCAAAAAAGTAATATGCTGCCTTCAAAACAGTGGTCTCCACATAGTGGGGAGTGACTGCACTGCAGGAAAAAAATATTAAATCTTCTTTTAATAATTATTTTATCCTTTACTGTGTATGCAATATGTTAATACCATATTATATGTATATTTTATAAGAAAATATACAAATTCTGGCAATACATGCCATATATTTTTGCCTTTTCGTGATACTTTTTAAACTCTCATTTAATGAAAAGACGTTTGGGATCACTGCACCAAAAGGGTTAAAACTACAGAACTAAATATTTAAAACCAAGAGCTATCACAGAGAAAGAAAGTCTTATTATGAGTACCTCTCCTACCAGGAGTAATAAAATTGCAAGACACCACTGTCACATAAAGAATATCCAAATTCATGGGGTGCCTGCGTGGCTCAGTCAATTAAGTGTTAGACTCTTGGTCTGGGCTCAGGTCATAATCTCAGTACAGAATCTACTTGTCCCTCTTCCTCCCCCTCTGCTCTCTGCTCCTCCTCCCACTCAGAGCTCTCTCTTAAATAAAAACATAAACAAATAAATAAAATCTTAAAAAACAAACCAAAAAAGAATACCCAAATTCCTTGTATTCATGGATTAGGTACCTCTTCAGAAATACATTTTATATGTACTGAAAAGATTAAAAATTTTGAAAACTCCATAAAATATTTATACTGTTAACTTTATTATCGCTTCTCGGCCTTTTGGCTAAGATCAAGTGTAGTATCTGTTTTTATCAGGTCAATATACTGTTAACTTTAATTGCAACATCTATACTTTAATATCTCAGGTTACTTTTCCCAAAGATGCCACTTCCAGGAAGCCTTCCCCACTGGTACTCAATACATGCTTACAGAATGCAGAATAATAAATTCAAAAGGATTAAAATATTGAGCATGCAACAGGGAGAAAATTCTAACACTGCTGTAAGAGTTCACAGATGAATGACTTCTGAGTCAGCTGCTTCTGCTTCCTTTGCCTCTACCACGTTAACAGTGGCGTTACTTAAGGCATGTTATTTACCCTGTCTAGGTCTGTTTCTCCTTCAAAATCTTATGGACGTAGCATAGTGATAAAGGGGCCAGGCTGTGGAGTTAAGACTGCTTGAGACTGAATCCTTCTGTACCACTTACTAGATTTGTGACCCTGAGCAAGATACTCATCTGTGCCCCTGTTTGCTCTTCTATAAAATGGGAATAATAGCAGCCACTTCATAAGACTCCTGGACAGTGCCTGGCTGGTAGTAAATGATCATTAAATAGTAGCTGCTGTAATTATTGTTGTTATTGTCTTCATCATGATAGCTAGGTTTTAGTAAGTGCTATGCTAAGTACTTTGATTACTTCATTTAATCTCCACAGCAGTTCTATAAAATAAGTATTAAAATTTCCACTTAAAAGACAAAGCCAAAGTATACATTACTTGGCAGAGGGTAAGCCTTACAGAAAGTAGTTTTTTTTTTTTTAATTATAATAAGGTAAATAATCCAAAATTTACTACAGCAGTATTTGGTTCATGTTTTTGTATCAGGAAAAAAATTTAAGGACAAATCAGAAAGCAATGTATCTGTTTAAAAGAAACAAACCCTAACAATCCCCAACAGCTATCATATATTATTTGTTTCCCAGAATAAGCTATCTAGATTCTGATGAGAGGATGTGAGATGCTTTAAAAAAAAAAAAATGCCATACCCTCCATTATAACGAAGGTTCCTGGAGCAATAGTTCCATACCTCCACAAGGCCAGCGACACAATTTAAATGTGATGCAATCTCTGCATCCTCTGTCCCCAGAGAAAATATATACACTTAAGAACTTAGTACACTATATTTCAAGGAGTGTTTACAGAGTCCAAGATGCGAATCTCTGCCCTAAAGATCTGGGACTTTGTCCTTTTCATTTTGGAATTCCATTTTATTTTGGAATATATACTTTTCTGGTATACGTTTTTTTTTCTTTTAAAGAATTCTCAATACTTCAAGTGCTCATCATGAAATTAAGGAGGATAATATAAAGCTACTATTAGTTCTATGCACTCCATTAAAGTCAGTGCTCATTCTCACAGGGGCTAGTTTCATATTACCAGTGTGAAATAGTATTTGGAAATAAGAAACATAAATCTTAAAGAAAGAAATGAACAAGTATGCTATGCAAAATTTACTACCTTTAAGGAAGATATTAAGTCAAGATCATACAGTTTATAAACTTAATTGTCAATATAGAATGAAGATATAAGTAATAGTGATCTTCACCCTACATAGTCCTCCTTCATCCTATAAAAAAGCCAAAAAATTTACATTTCTAAGACTCATCATTGTTATTTTAAAATGACACAATAAACTACAGTATTTGATCACAGATATTAAATATTTAAGTATTAATGTATGATACATGTTTCTAAAGGATAAAACAACAACCTAAAATCTTTTAGATCTATAATTTGTATCAAAGAGCTTACCATTTGGGGGGTCTCGTCTTTTCTCTGTTAGAAAATAAATCAAAATAATATTATCAGACATATGCAATACAAAAATCAACATAAAGAATTAATCTACCCAAACTCTGTCTTATTCTTAAGTCAATGTATAAGTGGCTAAAAAAGGTTTCTCTGAGGAACTGACATCTGAATAAAATAAGGAACAACATATTTAAAGGCCCTAAGGAGGGAACAGCATGAAAGAACATCATGAAGCTTGGACTAGAGTAAGCCAACAGAAGAGTAAAAGGAGGCAGTCAGAAGGAGACCCAGGGACTGGATCATATAGGGTCCCACAGGCCATGGTAAGGAATACAGATTGTATTCTATGTATGATAGGAAGCTCTTACAGGGTTTAATAGGGCCAACATAATCTAATGTTTTTAAAAGATAACTTAGGCTACTATGTGGAAAAGAGATCATAGGGGGCACTGAGTGGCAGCAGGGAGACTACTGAGGGAGTTATGGTAGTCCAGATGACAGATAATTGGGGCTTCGATTAGAGGGGTAGCAGAGGTGATAAGAAATAGATCCAGGATATGTTTCTGAAGAGACAACAGACTCACTGATGGGATTTATAAGAGACCATGGTGAGCCAGAGTGGAGCCTTTTACCAAGTTGGGGAATACATGGGGAAGAGTAGGAATGGGTCTAACTGGGGTTAGGGAACATAGATCAGATGTTCTGCTCAGACAAGTTAAGTTTAAGGTTATCCTGATGCTCAGTTGAAGTAAACAAGTTTGAAGGTTGGGGGAAAGGTCAACAATGAGGACAAAACTTTGGGAGGCATCAGTGTATGGAGAGTTTTCAAAGCTATGGGACACAATGAAAGCACAAAAGTAATGAGAATACAGAAACATCTGATCACTAAAGCAGACCAAAAATAAAAAGCTATAGCAGATGAGAAAGGAGTAAAAGCAGGAGAACTATCAATCCTTTGTACTCAGACTCTTATATACGAAGTTTGATATCATTTTGGCTTTAAGAAATTCAAAAGTGGTTGAAGAATTTTAAACAAATGTAATTTCCAGATTTTCTAATACAAAATTGCCCCAAATTATAAGAGAAATACCCATAAATAACGATATAATAATCAGTTTATAAACAGCCATAAACTAAAATTAATAGGATTTAACTGGGGAATAAGTTAAAAAATCCTGGCAATAGGAAATACCAATTTATTACTCCATCTGGTGGTCTGATGAAGTAACTTTCTGAAACACTGGACATAAGGAAGTCCCATCTATGTCAATGAATGTCAATCTCCCATTTCCCAGGTGATGTTATCTCTGCAACCAGAGAGGAAATACTTTAACTGATAACACAGATATGGAAATACACTGACATAAGTATAAAGTTCAGAGGATAAGTTCTAAAAAGTAATTTACAAATAAGATGCTAACCTGGCTTGAGAGCCATTCACATAAAAAAAGGGGAGGGTTTGGTTGAACAAAGAAGAATGGGAGCTGCTGGTATGAGGTATCTGCTAAAAACATTTGCAGAACAGTGCTTTAATCCTATCAAGAGGTATTTTAGTACCAACTAGTAAAACTACTTGTGGAGTACTGTGTTCAAATATGACTACTATTTGAAGCTGGATCATTTCTTCAAATCTGGACCTTCTGAAGAAGACATAAAAATATACAGTGGCTTCAGATGTACAGTATTTGGGATGATGAATCTATAAAGCACATCATGAGAAGAGTAAGAAACTGAAACCGGTTAAGGTAAAGAAGTAAAGGCATGAGAACATGATAGATGGCTTCCAATATTAAATGGCTACTGGGAGGAAAAGAAAATAGACTAATTTTTTATTGCTCCAAAAGTCGGATTCCATGCATCTAAGTTAGAGAGGCGAGGCTGGAGTTTGACTTAGCAGAAATAGAATAGATCCCTACCCAGGGATCTATCAGCTGCCTCCCTAAGATGACCTTCCTGCTTCTGAAACACCATGCTTAAAAGTTTAGGAACTACATAAAACAAAATTTCTATACCAGCTGAAAAATGCCTTTTAGGGACCTTCCCATTTCAAAGTCAATTAGTCTATATTTTAAGAAATATTTTTTACTTGTTTTATTTGGAAATGTCACATATATTGACTATAAGGAGCCCCAGAGAGCCCCTGGCCTAGCACCTTATTATGTCACAGAAAACTGATGTCTCTGAAACTGATCTTCTTAAGATGATGGTTTTAGAGAGGTTCACCTTTCCTAATCACCCTTCTTCCACTTGACAACAGAAAGGCCTAGTATACTGTTGTCAAGTATTTCTATATCAATAAATTTAAAATTCTATACTAGACTAGAGCATTCTCTATTTTATATGTATTATAGTCTCATACATTAAGTTCCTTATGGATTTATGATAGACAACATTAGGGACAAAATAGAGACAAAACAATGTTTATAGATTTTGTTCGCAACTTTGCTTATTTGCTTCTAGGCTTGCCTAAGTAGTCTTTGTCACAAAGTATTAAATATGCTAAGAATGTAAGTTAAGAACAAAGCCATAAAAATGCAAGTTTAAGAGTCAGTATATATGGCATGTTATCAACAAGACAGGTTATCAGAATGAATTCTTCAGTAAATCTGAAAAAAAATAGTTCTTAATAAAAATAGTTCTTAAGTAAGTACTAGTGAATTTTTTTTTTTTTTTTGTAAGGGGCCAGAGAATAAATATTTTAGGCTTTGTGTACCATACAGTCTTTGTTGTAACTATCCAACTGTTGTTGTGGCAACAGACAAAATGTAAACCAATGAGCGTAGGTTTGTCTCACTAAAACTTTATTTATAAAAACAGGTGTGGGCCCGTTCTGTCCCATGAGCCAGCTCCTGTTTAAAAAAAAGAAAAAAGTTTACCAGATTTCCTTTGTCGCCGGCCCAACAAGTCTGTAACTGCTTTCCGGAATTTTTTTGCTTCTTCTTCATTGGCAAAATTAAGAGCAACTTGACAAGTCTGAAATATTTTTATTTAAAAAGGTAAACAACAAGAAACATGAATCTAGCTTTAATGAAAAAATCGATAACCAACAAAGTACATTTATGAAGAAGGAAAGCTGAGTTTACTAGCAACAAGAGCTTAGTTTAAGCTTAGTTTTAATTTTATATGAATAACTTAAGAATACTGGAAGCATGGAGAAGGCGAAGTAAAAGACTACTAATAGATAAGTTGCCTCTCATAACGGACATTCAAATATTAAATGGAATACTCCATCTTCAACAACGACAACAAAAATAGCAAATTGAATTTGATTTTTCAATAGAACTCTACAAAATAATACGGATTTTAGAAAAGGCAAACACTGGAAAAGTTGGTCAAATGCAGGTCAGCTCTATCTTTACTAGGTTATGTTTTTATTTTACAGCTCAACTGTAGGTATTATTTATATGATAACCTTAATTCAGATAAAGTGTTGAAAATACGAAAAGACTGACATTGATAATGGCATGTTATGCACACTTTTATGTATGTACATATATTTATATTTTATTAAGAAAAATGTGAAAAATAACAGCTAGAGAAGAAAATTTTTTTGAAACGATATATCATCTAATCTAACCTTTTTTCCTCATTATGTAAAAATTTAGGAAATAAAAATACGAAAATAAAAAATTAAAATCACCTATAACCTAGTCACTCAGACAATCCTTGTCAGCATATGGTATGGAAATCCTTCTAACATCTTCCTCAAGTATATGCAATAAATTTTTTTATATTCTATTCTCCCCCTACACGCATTTAATGTATTTTAGCACTCTTCTAGGCCACGAACTATTCTTTCACAAAATAATCTGAATGGCAATATAACATCAATATTTAAAACATACCATGGATTAGTGGGCAATTAAGACTTCATTTTTATACATAAGAACACTAAATCCCAGAAAGATAAAGCTCTCTGTCCAAAGACAAAGATGATGAAAAAGCAAATTTCTTTTCTACACAGCAAATTATATTTATAGTACTCTTTGGGAACTTTTTTTTTTTTGGCCCTTTAAAATCTAAGCCATTTCTTCCTATTCAGCTATACTGTGAAAAGCTTTTTTTTTTTTTTTTTAAAGATTTTTTTATTTATTTGACAGAGAAAGAGAGACAGCGAGAGAGAACACAAAGCAGAGGGAGTGAGAGAGGGAGAAAAGGCTTCCCGCAGGGAGCCCGTGCGGGGCTCGATCCCAGGACTCCAGGATCATGATATGAGCAGAAGGCAGATGCTTAACTGACTGAGCCACCCAGGTGCCCCTATGAAGAACCTTTTAAAGGCAAAATAATTATTTTTACTTTATATAGTGTTTACATGGAATGCTCATAAATGCTTTCCACAAACAAGTATTAAAACAATTATGGGATCGAGCTCCACATCGGGCTCCCTGCTCAGCGGGAGGCCTGTTCTCCCTCTCCCGCTCTCCCTACCTGTGTTTCCTCTCTCACTGTCTCTCTCTCTCTGTCAAATAAATAAATAAAATCTTAAAGAAAACAAAAACCAGATGAACAAATAAAAAAATCTACATTAAACAGGGCAATAAAAAAAATATGACTTACATCTCCAGCAAAGGTATGAAAATATCCTCTAGGACTATTATATACAAAGTTATTGTATAGCTCTTGTTCCCACAATAGTTTCCCATCCTAGAAAAAGGTTAAAATAAGAGTTACCAAAAAGATAATCTCCAGGACTAAAACAAGATAGATGACTCATATTCAGGGAATTGTTTATATTAACAATAGCTTATACTTGCACAGAAAACACACACGAATAAAACATAAATAACATATAATTTAATCAGTAATTTCTTAACAAAAGAGTAAATTTTGGATTTTTCTTTCAAAAAACTACATATCAAATGAGTGTAAGTCAGTATGCTAAGACACTATCTCATTAGCCTTGTATTCCCAAATATAGTTACTCAGTCAAACACTAACCTAGAACAATTACTAGATCATCAATGTTAGACAGAAGGACTAGAATACTGTTGTACATGCACTGATTATCAATGCATAGTTCCATCAGTAATAGACTGTGTGCCATCAAATATTACAGGAACATTTCATGCTCTTTTCCTCAATTTTGCAGATGCTGAGAGGGTCAAATATACCCTCTCTGTACTATTCATTAACAATTTTTGAATTCCTAACTTTTACATAGAGGCCCTCTCATTAAATACTGGTAAGAGTAGTTAGTGTCAATCATGTGCAGAAAGAGACTGATAATTGAGTGCACCAAGGTTAAAGTATGGTTGAGAGAACCGTAGATGACTGGATTGTCTTATCTATGGCTACAGTAGAAGAAATATAATTAACCTACTACCAAAGGTGGCTAAGTGAAAGTATTCAGCAATGGTTATTTAAAATTAGAAGTAAATGGTTAGAGAAATTTAAGTATTGTCCTATTTCAAAAGCAAGGTTCTACCTACACCATGACTTAAAAATATTTAGAAAACACTATATACACATACAATGCAATTCCTTTCTTCTCAGTGAAGCTTTATGTGCACTTGATTTCTGAATAGTGCTTCTCAATGGTGATAAGAAATATGTCAAAAAAAAAAAAAAAAAAAAACCACAACTAAAAACTAAATAGTTTCTTTCAAACTCTGCATGTGTTCCCTATGCCCCAGAATCACTGCCACAGTAAGCCACTGCTCACGGGAGTATGCCACATCTTGTGGTATGGAGAAGTAGATGTTAAGAAGCACAAAGCTACAAAGCACAGTAACTTAAATCTTATTTAATCTCAGGGAAACACTTTGCAATAGACCCAAATGGTTCTCCCATTTTACAAATAAATAAGCCAAGGCCCAGAGAAGTAAAACAGTTTAATTACAATCTATCTATCCTTAAGTATCATCCAGGAGAGTTCAAAAAAATTTTTTTGGTAATTATTCCATTATACTTATTGCCACATACAAATATTACAGAAGCCTACCTATAGAAAAGGGTTTTTTTTTTTTAATTTATTTATTTGTTAGAGAAAGAGGCAGGCTCCCTGCTGAGCAAGGAGCCCAATGCAGGACTTGAACCCAGGAAACTGGGATCATGACCTGAGCCAAAGGCAGACGCTTAACTGACTGAGCCACCCGGGGGTCCCCTATAGAAAAGGTTTCAAAAGATAAATGGAGACTTCATCTCTGCACAAAGGTAATTACTTCTACAGTAACTGTAAGAGGGTGAATACCTAAAAATGGGCATCCAATCTAGAACAATGTGGATTTGTGTTTGAATGTGTGAGGTACAAAGCTGTGAAAATCTGAACATTGTTACTGTTGTCTCAACATAGGTATAAGTTGCAAATACATTATTATAGGTAGTGTATCATGCTTTAAACCTAGACTGAAGTAATTAACAGTATATACTAAACTAAAATATACTTTTATAGTTCCCTGAAAGGATTATATATGCTTGGAATAAAGGAGTACCAGTAGAAAAAGAGAGAATACAGAGAAAGCCCAAGATGTAAAGGTATTAAAAGCAAAAACAAAAACAGAAAAATCCTTTAATGTGTAGTGGCTGTAGAAAGATAAAACAGAGAACTATTCACGTTCTGGCTTACAACCTATTCCTGTTTGGTTGCAATGCCCATGTTTCATTTTCTAAAAGCAAGCCTCACTCTTCAAATATTAAGTATAATTTAAAAAATACACACAAGATGAACAAAAATTATATATATAACAATATATTTAAATATATAAATAATTATAACTGAGGTTAAAAAACCTATTTACCTACAGTTTAAAGTGGAAATAAAACTCACCTTAATATCAAATATTCTTAAAAAATAAGATCTCTGTGGATTGTCCTTAACAAGACAAGCGACACCGCTGCACTTCTTTGACCACATACAGTTACGATCTGCTGCATATAACTGTACCACTGCTGAAGACATAGTCTGGAAAATATAAAATGTATAGCCATTAGGTTCAAAATAACATTCAGATGACCACAGCACCTCTGACATCTTCACTGAAACTTCTTAAGAGACATCTAACCAGAATCACCCAGCTAGGCCACTCCTGATTCCCTGTCCCACAGAAACAAGGAGATGATAAACATTTGTTGTTACTTTAAGCCATTACTTTTTGAAGTAATTTCTCAAACAGTAGTAAACAACATAATAACTGCACTAAACGTAACTACAGAAAGCAAACATTTACTGATGCTTAGAATGTGACAAAAATTGTATTAGGTGCTTTTAAATACAACTCCATTTAAATGTATTACTATTATAATCTCATTTAATGCTTGCAAAACCCAACATTAAAGGGATAAATAATCTGCCTCAAATCACACAGCAAAGTGGCAGAGTTCCAATGCAGGCAATTTATGACTTCAGATCCTGTAGTCCCCCTCTATCGATGGGACGTACATTCCAAGACTCCCCAGTGGATGCCTGAAACTGCAGACACTACAAATCCCATATATACTACGTTTTTTCCTACATATCTATGATGAAGTTTAATTTATAAATCAGGCAAAGAGATTAAAAATAACAAAAAGTAAAACAACTGTTATAACTATTGTAATAAAAGTCATGTGAATGTGGGATCTCTCTCAAAATATCTTATTGTACTATACTCATCCTTCTTGTGATGATGTTAGATGATAAAACACACCTATGTGAGCGGATGAAGTGAGGTGAATGGAGTAGGCATTATAATGTAGTGTTAGACTACTACTAACCTTCCGACAATATGTCAGAAGGAGGATCATCTGCTTCCAAACAGCAGTTGACTGACCGTGCGTAACTGAAACTGTAGAGAGCAAAACCATGCATGAGGGAGGACTACTATACCACTTTCTAATACTGTGAACACTTAAGTATATGAAGTAGTAGTGTTAGTAAAGGCATCCATATAGCAGTTAATTACTTTAGTATGGTACTAAATCACACCTGAAAGCAAGATTTGAAGATACTAATTATAGTGCTAGACATTGTGAACATATCATTATCCTAGAAGGCAGATTCTAAAATCATCTTTTTTAAAAAATTTTTTGAAGATTTTATTTATTAGACAAAGAGAGAGAAAGAACACAAGCAAGGGAGCAGCAGGCAGAAGGAGAGGGAGAAACAGGCTCCCCACTCAGTAGGGAGCCCAATGCAAGCTCAATCCCAGGACGCTGGGATCATGACCTGAGCCAAAGGCAGGTGCTTAACCAACTGAGCCACCCCGGCACCCGTCTAATATCATCTTTTTTAAAGAGGGCAAAACTGAGGGAAAAAAGATATTAAGTGACTTGCACATGGCCATGCTTGAGAGCTATACTGAAGATATAAAGAATTATCAGTTATTATTGTACTAATTTTCCCAAGGATATACCTAACTAGTACCCTTTTAGATGTATAAGCGAAAAGCTAATTGCTACAAGCAAGGAACATGGCACATTAAGTTTTACCATGTTGCCACCTCCCTCATGACAGTATCATGAAAAAATGGAAACTCTAGTTTACTTCTAAAGTTTTTTTTGTTTTATGTTATAATCTTGGATGTAACTATTCGATTTTAGTTTCCATTAAGAGTGATACAAAGCAGTTACAAATCCTCTGAAAATAATAATCATGTTTTCTGGCCTAAATCTAGTGCTTTCACTCCAAAACCACAAATCAAGGAAATAATTTAAAATACAACAAAAATTTATTATTTATAATATGAATATGAAACAACATATCTAATATAAATACATTAGAAAAGGAATTTAAATAACCAGATGATGGATAATTTAAATAAGAACAGTACAATGAATAGTGGGCAGTTCAATGAATAGTGGGCATTGTTAAAAAAATAGACTACATTAAGATTTAAAGCTGTTTTGGGTTCCTTAACTATGGCTGGGGATTGCCCTCCTTTAATAAGAGGATTCCAAAGAGCTAATAAATAAATAAATAAAGATATATATATATATATATAAATGTCTTTTATAATAATAAAGTAAAAAATGTAAGATCAGTGTACTTTTGGGGACCAAAATTCTATGTATAAAAACTTTCCTAAGTAACACTACTCCAAGTTTTTAACTTTTTGTAGAACAAACTCATCTTTGAATTTCAGAGTCATGAATAGGACACAAAGCAGCAGGAAAATTTCCACAGGAGACATTTAAAAAATTATGAAGATTGCTTAGAAACATAAAAAATGAATATAGTAGGATACTGGGCTTAAAAAAGGATACTGAAGACTGCTGAGTAAGCCTTTGGCCTGCTCAAAACATATTTTGTTCTTCTGCAGTTGTAATACATATCATCATCTGCTTGGGCTCCCTGACCCCAAACTCTAACACTATAACCTTAAAAAAGAAAAAAAAAAAAAAAAGGATTTTGCATATATTATCCAAAGGTATTAAAGAGTAGGCTAAAGGATTCAAAACTGGAGGAGTTAATTCATTTTCTAAGTCAAATTCATATAAATTACAGCTCTTTTAGTATGAATGATGCTGTCAAAATGTATTCATTTCTAAAAAGAAAAACAACTAGGAAACTAGATACCAAGGGGGAAAAAAAACATCAAAAAGTCCTTTTAGGGGCACCTGGGTGGCTCAGTTGGTTGGGCATCCAAATCTTGATTTCGGCTCAGGTCATGATCTATGGGATCATCAGATAGAACCTGTGTCTGTTTCCCACTCTGCAGGGAGTCTGCCGGTCCCCCTCTCCCCCTGCTCCTCCCCTACCTTACTCATGCATGTAAGCCCATGTATGCTCTCTCTCAAATAAATAAATCTTTTTTTTTTAATCCTTTACTTTTTTTTTTAAACTGAAAAACAAGAAGTGACAGCTTGCGAAAGAAACAACATATTATCAAATACAGTCTGAAATTCCATTATGGAAATTCTCTTGCAAATGACCAAATATTAACATGTAAAATACTGAATGTATATATGAACTTAAGAAAAAAAGTAACAAAAACCTAAAAATCCACATCTAAATATTTATAAAAATTTAAAACAAATTCTTTTAACATATGCCTAAGAAATAAAGACCTGCGAAATAGTTCAATAACATTCCACATAAATATGGTTGGCACTATAAACCTTATTCTAAAACAACTTATAAAATTTTAATACTGAAGAAACCACCTAACCATAAGCTATTTTCAGTTACTGGATTTTCAAAATTTTGCTACAATCATATATCAGTCTAAGTATGTATCTTTCACTCCCTTTTATCTTAAACTAGCAAAGTCTGAAAAATATACAAAGCCCTTTCTGATTAACTTAGGAAAATTATAGTGAATGCAAGAATAGCTTATACACATAAAAGTTAATATATAAATGCTAGAAATATAAAAACAGTGACTATCCCTTAAGCTCTAGGTTGACAGTGGCTTAATTAAGTCTTTAAAAACATTCCTTCCATTCCTTTAAAGTAATTACAGCTAATCAACTCCATTACTTCTTGTCTTTCATAACTGAGAAGGTACTATTAAAAAACAACTGAGGGACAAGTGCCAAGGAAGGGAAATCTAAGCCTAATAATGTTAGGTTTAAAATTTGTTAATTAAAGGGAAAAAGTACTATACTAACTTTGTAGAAAAAAGAACCTATCCTATCTTACGCATCCCTGATATTTCAGTACAAAGTTACTGCCATATCATATTCATCCTCAGAACTTTGTCAAAGGCGGAAATAAGATAAAGGATGAATTGTGGGATGTAAATCCCTCCCACTGTCCTTCAACAGGGCATTAGTATTACCTCTCAGGCTTATTCTGCACTGTCAGGAATGACTTCCCTGATTTCCTAGGTTAAATAACTGCTTTCTTTCTAGAGTAACTTTTTTTTTTTTTTAGTAACTTTTTGAATACCTTGTGTAAATCTTATTACCTCACAGCCCTTACTCTAAAATAGAATAATTTTCTATATTGATTTATTACCCATTAAGTAGGCTGTAATTCTCTTAAGCACCTAGTCTCTATATCATAGTATAGAAAGTATAGTTTCTAGACTATACTTTTTCTTTCTTTTTTTTAATTAATTTATTTATTTTTAAAGATTTTATTTATTTATTTGACAGAGAGAGAGAGAGAGATCACAAGTAGGCAGAGAGGCAGGCAGAGAGAGAGAGAGGAGGAAGCAGGCTCACTGCTGAGCAGAAAACCTGATCCGGGGCTCGATCCCAGGACCCTGAGATCATGACCTGAGCCAAAGGCAGAGGCTTAACCCACTGAGCCAGCCAGGCGCCCCTAGACTATACTTTTTCACCTCTACTTTGCTCCAAGCAAACATTTACTAAATTAAAAATTACATATTCTGATTTTGATAATAATACTATGATAATGCCCTTGATTTTGGATCCACATTATGGGGACGTCTGGGCGGCCCAGTTGAGCTGGTTGAGCATCCGACTCTTGGTTTCGGCTCAGGTCCTGATCTCAGGTTCGTGAGATGCAGCCTGGCAGGCAGAGCCTGGCATCAGGCTCTGTGCTCAGTGAGGAGTCTGTTAAAGTTTCTCTCTCCCTCTCCCACTGCCCCTCCCCTCTGCTTGCTCATATACACTCTTTCTCCCTCTCACATAAATAAATAAAATTTTTAAAGGATATGAATCTTGAAGTATTATTATAAAGGGGTATCATATTGGCAACTTACTCTCAAGTGATTCTGAAAATTATGTATGTATACATAGAAAGAAGAAACCCTGGTAAAATGTTATAAATGCTTGACAAATCTGGATGAAAGATATGCAGGAATTCCTTGTACTATATTTGCAACTTTTCTGTAAGTATGAAATTATTTTGAAATTAAAAAAATTTTAAAGCCCAAATGACTCATAAAAGTGTAAGACTCAGCTTCCTTCCATGGCCATGTAACAGTCTTGGGAAGGTGATTCTCTTCTCAGAGCCACTGCTATCTGTCCATATACAAAGCACCACCTACACTGATCCAAAACTAAGACAACTAC